AGCTTCGGTTCGTTTCATAGACTGCTATAAACTACCTTTTAGCTACTTTTTTTTTTTTACTACTGCTTATATTCTTCGTTTTTGTGAGTTTCTTTGTTTCAACTTGTAAAACCGTGTCATATACTGAACGCTCATAACTGTTTTGTTATCTGTTATAAATACCATTACTTTACTTTATTGTTTACTCTATGTGTAGTTTTATTGAAGTTACGTGCGTGTAGTTTTATTAAGTAAAGCTACGTCTACGTGAATTTCTTTGTCTGACTGCGTAAAATCTTTTCAAATAGACCAAGATTTATCGATCGACCACGTAATGCTTGCAAGAAGGCGTAGCTTAAATGGTGTGTGTGAAAATGATAGAATAAGGAAAATTCAAGCGAAGGGTATGAAAACTATCGCAAATGTCGCGGGTAGTATCTATATAATAAAATTCAGTGTATGTGTGTATGTCTGTATGTGTGTCACGTACAAAACGAATCGTCTCGGTCCCGTGGTTCGCATTGTTTTACATTAGAGCACGTAAGTAAGTAGGCCTACTAATTACTGTTCGTAACTTGGTTAAAGAAATTAAACTTGCATTATAGCGGCAATGATCATTAAATTGAAAAATAGTAGTTCAGGCATTACATTTGCATCATAGCAACCCTGTAAATGTGGGCCATAGGCCAATGGGTTCGCTAGTTTCTAAATACACAATTGCTATATGAATAAGCTGGATGGCGCTCAGCTGGTGTAATGGCTCATTCCTTGGGTCTTCCAAATAACCGTCTAATTTTGAATTTTGGTCGTGTTGATTCAAAAGTGTATCCGTATATCCACCAGAGCAAACAATCACTGGGAATTACATTTACTTAAATGTTGCCAAGTAACTTAGCAATGACAGTATAACACATGTCAATTCAGTTTTTAACTTTTTAAAGATCATACTCCCAAAAGATGCAAATAATGGTAAATTGTTAACACAGTCGTTCGCGTATAGTAGTTTGATCATAACGGTTTGTATATTATGTTTGGCATATGAAAGTTCGTGAATAATATCTGTAATTCGATACTTTTTATATTACGCAATAGTTTATGTATTATTAATATCGGGAACAATATATTTTATATTTATAGTTAAATTAAAACTTGTAATAAAATATACACCTGGAAAAAAGTTAAGCACCCCCAAATAT